ATATGCATAAAAATCACATTTGTCTTGTTGGTCATTTTTCCCAGTTGCTTGCCTTGAATTTATTTTCATTGCTGCCTTAATTCCTTACTTTTATGAAATTCTAATGATGTGCTTTATTTTCAGTCTACTATCCCTTTGCTGCAAGAGGTTAGGATTCACAATTTGGACCGACTCTGTAAAATATTTGGCTTTATATCTTTCCTGAAATATATCACAATATGTTGAATTAAATGGGTTAAGTGTGTAGATGCAATTTCAGTAGAAACAACTCAATGATTGAAATTTCTATTAAGTCTCTGGGGTAAGATTAATGTTATTAAAATGAGTATTACAGCAAGATTAATGTATATTTTAAGAGGGATTCCACTGTTAATCCCCATTAGATATTTTACACAGATAGATAAGTTAATGAGAATTTTTATGGCAGACTAACACCCCTTAAATATCATTAGCCAAACTGAGATTTCCTTATACTGAAGGTGGTTTAAGCCTATCCAGTTTACAACTGCAGGTAATCCTTGACCTAAGGCCAGTCACTTAGCGAACATTCAAAATTACAATGAATAAAAAAAGCTACTTACAAGCCAAATTTGAAATTCCAATGGCTCCTCCTCCCACCATAGTCGCATGATCCAGATTTGGGTGCTCCACAGCCAGATTGCATTTAGGGCTGCTTGCAGCATTCTGTGGTCATGTGACATCAATTTACAACAATATTTTTTTTGTCAGAAACCAGCATTTACTTCCAGTTTCTGGCAAAAAAAACCCAAAAACCATTGTGGACAGTGGTTCGCTTAATGACAATGATGTTCACCTGACAACCACCACATATGCTTACCACATGCCATGTTTGCTTAGCACCTGTTGAAAGAAAGGTCGTAAAATCGGTCACATTCATGTGATGACCCACTTAATGACTAGCATGACTTATGACTGTAATTCCAGGTTCAATCATAACCATTAGTCGAGGTGATGATTACAATGTATAGGAAGATATACAGGTAAGTCCTGGACTTATGACCACAATTGAGACCCACATTTCTGTCGCTAAGCAAGAGAGTTGCTATGTGAGTTTGGCCCCCATTTTATGACCTTTTCTGCCAGAGTTGTTAAGTGAATCACAGCAGTTGTTAAGTTAGTAACACTTTTGTAAAGAGAATCTGGCTTCCCCATTGACTTTGCTTGTCAGAAGGTCGCAAAAGGAGAAGATCACGTGTCCCTGAGCCATTGCCACCATCATAAATATGAGCCAGGGGCCAAGCGTCTAAATTCTGATAGTGTGATTGCTTAGGAATGCTGCAAGAGTTGTAAGTGTGAACAATGGTCATATGTTGGCCTTTAACGTCTGCATTCTCTTGAAGCAAGGCATTCCCATGAATATCCTCCTATTTGGGTCTATTTAGAGAGCAGATTATGGCCTCTCCATTTCTCCCCCCCATTCCCTCCCTTTCAATGTTAATCAAGATCTGATAGATCAGATCTTCAATGAATTTCCCTCTTTGCTTTTAGACTTCCTTCCTCCATTCTTCCCTTCCTCCCTTCTTCCTTTCTTCCCTTCTTCCCTCTCTCCCTTCCACATTCTCTTAATCCTGTAGATGTCTCCCTCTTGTTCATGTACACCATCATTTTAGCTACATTAAGAACACAACTCAAGAAATTTAAGTTTGCTGTTAGTATATAGGATTACAGAGCTCTGATAATGCAGTGGTTGAATATTCCAAACTGCTGAAAGGAAACCATATTTTGATTATAAATAGCTACAAGTCCATTCTTCCATTTCTCAGCTGGAGGGGAAAAAAATAAAGAAATATGTCTAAATAACAGTATAAAGCAGGTAAATGTATGTGGCCTGGAGCACAATAACTGGATATCTTCTCTTCCAAGACCTCTTTTCCAGAGAGGGAGTGTTCCATCACAAATGTGTCATCCTGGGGCTAGATTACTAACCCCTCCCCTCACAATCCTATTTCCCACACACAAGGATTGATGTCAGGTATTGTTATGGGCATAAAAAGAACGCTTTGAGAGAGGGGCCCAGCAAAGAAAGAGTCACGTGCTCAAAGAGTGACAGGATGCATCCATGCGCATAGCCACTCAAAAGGAAGAACATCAGAAGTTGTTTCAGACAAAGTAAAACCAATGTTCTAGTTATATACTACCAGCCTTTTTGTCTGGTCTAAGGCTGTTCCAGGAACTAGACTTATCTTTTTCCCAAGGGTGCTTTTTCAAGAGGCAACTGGACTTTCTGGCTTTTCTTTGAAGACGTTTCGCTTCTCATCCAAGAAGCTTCATCAGCTCTGAAGAATTAGGTAGCTCTGAGCTGAAGAGGCTTCTTGGATAAGAAGCAAAACATCTTCAAAGAAAAACCAGAAGCCCCAGTTGCCTCTCGAAAAAGCACTTTGGGGACAATCGTGACCTAGATGACCGAGAAACTCCATAGACACATAGCCTTATATTTATATTTGCCCTGCTTCAGCAATAGATGTTGGTAGAGAGAAGCAAGTTATGGGTGAAGACAGCCGACAGCACAGGCTAGATGGCAGGACCTATTTGGTCCATGGTCTTTCTTGCAGAAGATAGCCCTGGAGATGCAGAGCTAGTAAAGGCTCCCCCAATGGCAAAGAAGCAATCTATAATGCACACGTTCACTGTACATCCACAGCTTGCTATTCTTATTCCTGTTCATTTGTTTACTTGCTGAGCAAACAAAATGTCACTATGCGGAGCTTATGTACAACAATATATTCATTTCAAAATAGATATCAATATGGATGTGTGTGTGTGTGTGCGCGTGCGTGCGTGCGTGTCTGTGTGTGTGTGTGTGTGCACCTGCATACACAGATGCCTACATATACAAACAGGTGTACTTTTATGGAAAACCTGCAAATGTTTTGAACATCTCTATTAAATATTTTTACCCAAAGTTAATCTGGCAGAAAACATATTGAAATAAAACAATCTTTAATTAAATGTTTAAGCTCTTGCTGTTTTGTTTATCTTTTGGCCGAAGCAATTTTCCATGGAACTTTTGATTCAAAGAAAAATAAATATACTTTAGTTTTTCCATTTTTTATTTTGACAACAAACCTAGTGGTTAAGCATGGGAATCAATTTACATCAATATACATTCAGAAAAATAATAAAACTAAAGACGCATTGTCAACAATGGTTGCGTGAGGTTCATGAATTTTTCAAAACATACATCTTGAATGACTAATTGGGCATGGGTAATTACCTACCATGACTAATTACCAAAAATAATGTTATCTACCAGTTATTGAAAATGCATTCCTTTGATCCTAATTTAATACATTAGCTATCTTTACTACTATATCATATAGGCTCTTAATTTAGAGATTGCTGAACTAAACCATTTGGCGGATTATTTGCATTTTATATTAGTCTGAAATGTAATCAATATATGACTTATAAATTAATGTATCCAAAGTTCACTTTAATTTATAAATCTAGGAATGCCTTTGCTGAAGTAAACAGTGTGACTTTCTTGCTTCTCCTTTGCTGGCACATTCTATGTCCCCCTCCCTAAATATAATTTCCAACCAGCAATCCTTAGGCAAGAAAATGTGATTAGGAAAAGAAGCATTCTCTATACAAGACAAATGATAAACTGCATACAAGTTACTATATCTTAAGATGGAGCACTCGGTTCAGTAGTAAATGGCAAATTCCTGTAGGGTTGCTGTAAAACATTCTGTAGTGCTGTAAATTTCCCCAGCCCTTTGCTGAGAATCAATAAAATATATCCCTGCCATGAAAAATGTATAGATGAAAAATGTCTTATGATTTAAATTACTTGAAAGGATCACAAACTTTTGTAACTGAATTTTTGTAGAATTTCCCCTTAGTTGCTGACCAGCAAGCCATGGTCAGTTTATTTTGAGTTGACAGTTTGGTAACCGTAAAATTAATTGCTAATAATTTACACTCTTTTCACTTGTCCATCCTCCATGCCAAAGCTCTTTGCTTCAGACTATGTCTGGGAATTCACTATTTCTGTTCTGTTCTCTTATATGCTAGACTGTCATTGAGTTATATTTTGGAAGAAAAGTAGACCCTTGGAACCAATGTTCCTGTCCATGGGTGGGCAGGAAAAATCAATGAAAATAGCTTATCTTACCTAAAGTGAACAATTCATTGGTCTGGTAATTGTAGATTTTGATGTGGGGGCACATTCTAAGAAACAGTTCCCATTTGATGATAGGGTTGCAATGTCAGCACCATAAAAGGGCTTGAATACTAACAATTTATAGTGGACATAATACTGGACTCTGAAAGTTAGAAGAGCCAATCCATACAAAGTGTTTTTATATGCCTAATGACTTTAGAAGGTCATTAGTGGGGATCCTATTTTAAAGAAATTTTATACAACAATTTCAGCTCAGTCTGAGGTGGGCAATTCAACCTGAACGTATCTCTCTTCATAATAAGCCAGTCTTCAAAACAGTGTTTGTTCAAAGACTTTGAAATAGTTTTAGTGTGAAAATCTTAATTTTAGGTCACATTTAAATTATCATAGGTCTGCAACTTTGCAACACTATAAAGCCTGAACATTTTATCCATGAAGTCCATATCATCACAAACTTCAAAACACTTCAAAGGATTTATTAGAGGCGACATACTGGCACTGCCCTGTATGAAGCCAACTCTGGCATATGTTATTTACAGTCCCCTGTGACCCTATTTCACCTCTCCCCCTGGGTGTCTCATAAACCAGATTCTCCAACTGAGCACGTTCACGGGCTGGGTGTCATCATTCACGTTCTCCAATTAAATATATTTGCAGACAGAAGTTCTGGTATTTTAGTTACAATCTTTTAAAGATAAGAGTTGGAATGTATTTTCGATTTCAAACTTCTGCACTGTTCTTCCAGATTTCCTTCCTCCCCCACCCTTTTTTTAAATGGCAATTACTAAAACAGGCATAGGAATGTTTTATGAGTTGACATTATTTTTAATCCCTTCTCCTCTCCATTTTGCAGACGGGATCCACAGTGTGACAGCCCAGTGTGTCCTGCGTGTCATTGTCATCACCGAAGACATGTTGGCAAACAGTATCACAGTACGCCTAGAGAACATGTGGGAGGAGCGTTTCTTGTCACCTCTTCTCGCCAACTTCCTAGAGGGTGTGGCTACTGTGCTGGCCACACCCAAGGAGGATGTCTTCATCTTCAACATCCAGAATGACACAGACGTCGGAGGACAAGTGCTGAATGTCAGTTTCTCGGCAATGTCACCCCGGAGTGGCCACTTTTTTAGTTCAGAAGAGCTTCAGGAACAGCTATACATGAAACGCATGACTCTCACCTCAGTCTCCATGCTGGAAGTATTGCCCTTCGATGACAATGTTTGCCTTCGTGAGCCCTGCCAAAACTACATGAAGTGCATCTCGGTGCTCAGGTTTGACAGCTCGTCTCCTTTCATTGCCTCTCTGTCCACCCTCTTCCGACCTATCCACCCTATCACAGGCTTGCGCTGCCGCTGCCCTCAAGGCTTCACTGGCGATTACTGTGAAATGGAGATTAACCTCTGCTATTCCAACCCCTGCCTCAATGGCGGAATCTGCACCCGCAAGGAAGGAGGTTACACCTGCATCTGCCGCCAGCACTTCACAGGTCAGGCTTTCATTCTTCTGGGAATGGAGGTGGGGCTGTTGGCTACAAGTTTTCAAAAATTCTTCCCTATTTAATGGCTCTATTTCAGTGTGAGAGACTTCACACCCACTGTTAAAGAGAGGCTCTGCTCGCATTGCGTAGTATACCCAGCAATGCTAATTCTACAGCAACTAATTTGGAAATTAGCCAGTTCTTTGATGGAAAGAGAGGACCAGAAATTTATTAGCAAGTGAAGGGTTTTGCTGTGTATCAGATATGTATAAACAGAAGCTAATTAAGTTATGTATTGATGAAGAGGAAGATGCAGTCATGGTATGCATAGTTGTCTACCACTTTCTTCATGTCAAGAAATTTTTCAACAATCATGATAGATTTGTAAGTTAACTAGCCATTTCTTACATGGTTTTTCAGGTACTGGTTGTTATAGGGAGGACTGTTTTGTGTTTCCATGATGGTTTATTTCTGTGTATAGAAAGTCTTATTGAGTGTGTCTGCAATTGCCCATAGCAGCTCTTTACAGTCTTACTCAGAAAAGCATCACATTCACTAAATACTGTTATTTTGAACTTGGCCAAACTTTCCGGATTGCTTTCTAGACTAGTTTTCTCTTCCTGTCCAATAGTTCATGAATGTTGTCTCAGGAAATTTCAAGGTACCTGGGATGACCTCACTGCAGCCAGACAAGAAGCAGTTAGATGGCTAGCTTCCTCAAATATTGAATCTATCCCATTGCAGTTGTATGGCTCCATAGTATGGTGTTTTTATTATGATTTTATCTTAATTTAATATATTATCTCCTATATTGTATTGTCCACAAATATTATCTCTATATCACTATATCTCTCTGTCTGTCCGTCTTTATCTATTTATCTGTCTGTCTACTTATCAACACAATATTTAAACTAAATTTATATATCAGTGATTGCATGACCTCTGTAGATGCCACATGTTAAATAAAATAAAAATTCCTGTCCAAGATAGCACGGCAAGAGAAATTGGGGTAAAGGATCAGATCAGTGCCTAGCTGGGTGAAATCTGCATCCTTTTCATGTGGCTTTCTACACAGTCTGGCTTCAGGGGAACACAATTATACAAAATCTTGTCAAATAACATTGTTCTCATTTTAAAATCAGCAGATATGGTGACCATTGGAGATTTCTGCTATTTTTTTAATTTGAATATAGGGGCTGCTATAATTGGTCCAGGAAATTTGATGTTTTTTTATGTCATATTGGTAAACTTTATAGGAAACAAGGGATCGATGTACTGGGTGGGGCTGGCTTCTGCTGGGTATTTTGGGGTGGAGAAGTGAGTGATTGAGATGTTTTTAAGGACACTTCTAAAGCCATCAACTTTAAGAACTGTAATATAATGTGTTGTATTGTGGGTGGAGTTATCGCAAGCCATCCCAACCAATCCTTGCTGCCCGCTGGAGAATCTTGTAGACTCAATCATTGCTCAAATTGTGGATCCAACACAGTTTTATTTATTTTTTATTTGCTTTATTTGATTTGTCAATCACTTACAAGATTATAGGTATAAGTATAAACATGAGTAAGAATACAGGAAATAGGTACAAAGAAATGGGGACAATAGGACAGGGATGGTAGGCACGATTGTGCACTTATGGCACAGACCTCTTAGGAATGGGGTGAGGTCAATAGTGGATAGTTTGAGGTTAAAGGAGTGGGGGTTAGAGGATGTAACAACAGTGTCAGGTAGTGCATTCCAGGCAATGACCACTCTGTTGCTGAGTGTTTGTTTAAACACACTCCTGTCATTATGCAAAACAGATGTTGCACCCTGATGAAAGCGATCCCACAAAAGCTAAGTGTTGTAATATGACTCTCTGCAGATTTAAACATCGGAACAGAATGATATAAGTAAAATATTTCCATTTCTTTATTTTTGGTTTGGTTTGGCTTGTGCTCCCTGCCCAGCCAGAAATAAAGAAGCAATAATCCCTGTCCTCATAAGTTCATTTCATCTCGGATCATTATAGTGGATAGAACAGAAGCTGGCTGGTAATTAAGTTACACAAGGATTTAATTATGATCTGGAAAAGTAACTAGCTTTACTCTTGAAAAAAAAAAGACAATGTTGTCTTTACTCAAAAACTTAGCAACTGTATTTTTTCTTGAGTAATTCATTGTTATAAGGGTGAAAATAAAGTGCTAGAGGAAGAGTAACACTCATGCTATTGTTTGGATAAGATTCATACTTCTAAGTCTCCCTTGAAAGCATCTTCAGCAGTTTGCAACCTGTCTCATGTTTCACAGCAAAAGTACCAGCCAGTTGTCAATATAAATTCCAACTGCTACCCATAATTAGTTTCTGTTTGCTGAGTTAATCCTTTACATGGTATTGCCTGGGGGTACAGGGGGAATCCTCGGTTGAGTGATATTTTTTCAGGAATGCAACTAGAAATAAGGAATGAAAAGAGTGAAAAGTTGCAGTATCAGCAAAGCTCAAGCAAAGCAAGACTATCAATGGACAGTTTATATAAGATCTTCCAACAGATCTTAAATACCAGCTGCTGGGGAGGAAGTTAGCTACCTTCCTCTCTATGCCTGGGACTTCCCAGGTGTACCAGGTTGGCAGGGGTGGGATTCTACGGGTTCTGTCCGGCTCTGTAGAACCGGTAGCTCTGAAGAGCAGCAGACAAAGAACCGGTTCTGTGTCTGCTGCTGTTTTGGTCCACCCACCCGCCTGGGCTCTTACCTGTCCTTTATTTCCTGCTTTTTCAACCTCAGCTGCTTTGTGTGACACAGCTGTGTTTGAAAAAGCAGGAAAATAGTGCTTTTTCAAACGCTGCGCACCCATGCGCAGAGCTGCTCATCTGTCTGGGCAGCACAGTTCACAACATCTCACATGCACGCACAAATCGTAAATCACTGAACCAGTAGTTACACCAGTTGGATCCCACCCCTGCAGGTTGGCCACTATTATGTCAATGAACACTGGATCACAAGTAGTTCTTGACTTACAACCATTCCTTTAATGAATATTCCAATTTATGAGAGTGCTAAAAAAAATGACTTATGGCTGCTTCTAATATTTATGACCACTCATGTCATTACAGCATTCCTGCAGTGACATGGTTGCCATTTGCAATCTTCTCAGGAAGCGTCCAACAAGCAAATTCAATGGGGCAAGCCCAAGTCACTTAATAATTACAGCGATTCATTTAATGACTATGGCAAAAAAAGTTGTAAAATTGGGATGCAATTTACTGAATGACTGCATTGCTTTGAAACAGAAGTTCTCGCCTCAGTTGTGATCATACATTGAGGACTGATCTTAGTTGAACCTTTGGGCCAATACAGCCTAGCTCTTACTGTAGTCTCTAGCTATACTGTTCTTTTAAGTTCTGGCATAAACTTGTTTATTTTTTATCTATTGTTCACTGTATACTTATTTCTTATGAAAGAGTAAAAATGCCATTATCGGCATTCATAGCCAATTTACTTTGAATTTAGATAGAAAGGTAGAATCAGGGGTGGGATTCTACCAATTTGCACCTATTTGCTAGAACTGGATGTTAACATTCTAAGCAGTTCGGAGAACTGGTTGTTAGAAGAAATTACTGGCCTAATCCTGTAAGGAAGGCAGGAAGGAAACATTCTGGTGTTGCTTACAGAAACTGCTTCTCTGTTAACGCTTATTACATTTTTGGCAGGACTAGACTTCCTGTCTCTGGAACTTCTCTGGAGTTTTTTTCCCCTCCTTTGCTGGTACTTTGCTTGTGTGGAGTGACCATTCAAAGTTACTATGGCACTGAAAAAAGTGACTTGTGACCATTTTTCACACTTACAACTATTGCAGCATCCCCACAGTCATGAGACTCCAGGTGAGGAGATGCGTGCCTCGATGTGAGTGATATTGAGTTGGCCACACCCAGCCAATAACATGACCACCAAGCCACGTCCACCCAGTCACATGACCACCAAGCCATGCCCACCAACTAAGCCATGCACACAGAAATTGTTAAAAATTTTGAATCCTACCCCTGGATAGAAAAGAATTGTTTATTGGCCAGGTGTGGTTGGGCACACAAGGAATTTGTCTTGGTGCAAATGCTCTCATGGTACATAAAAGAAAAGATACGTTTGTCAAGAATCATAAGGTACAACACTTAATGATAGTCATAGGGTACAATAAGCAATCAAATCATACTAGGAAACAGTCCATATAAATAGTAAGGGTACAAGTGACAAAGTTCCAGTCATACAGTCACAAGTGGGAGGGGATGGGTGGTAAGGAGTGATGATGAAAAGATTAATAGTAATAGTAGTGCAGACTTTGTAATAGTTGAACAGTGTTGAGGGAATTATTTGTTTAGCAGAGTGATGGCTTTTGGGGAAAAACTGTCCTTGTCTAGTTGTTCTGGTATGCAGTGCTCTATAGCATCGTTTTGAGGGAAGGAGTTGTAACTGTTTATGTCCAGGATGTGAGGAGTCTGTAAATATTTTCACAGCCCTCTTTTTGACTTATGCAAGTCCTCGATGGAAGGGAGATTGGTAGTAATTGTTTATTCTGCAATTCTAATTACTCTCTGAAGTCTGTGTCTGCCCTGTTGGGTTGCAGAACCAAACCAGACAGTTATAGAGGTGCAGATGACAGACTCAATAATTCCTCTGTAGAACTGGATCAGCAGCTCCTTGGGCAGTTTGAGCTTTCTGGGTTGGCGCAAAATTTGACTTTTGTGTAGCCTATCCTTCTAACAGAGGGAGGAGGAGAAACATCTTGGTCATCTTTCCATTTTTCTTTTTTTCCCATCTTCTTCCACTGGTGCAAGAAGAACAAAGACAAGAGGGCGGGAGAGAGTCCACTTAGAATGTGACAACCTTCCTCTACACTTACCCAAAGCAGCTGGGATTTATTGAATAGCCCAGGGATGTCAAACTCACGTCATCATGGAGGCATCACGTAACATAGCAGGACTTTTTCCCCTTCGCTAAACTGGGCAGGGGTGTGGCCAACACGCAGGCCGGGAGTTT